CAGTGGATTGGGAGGATGTTATAAAGGTTACATTAGATTACAATACGATCATGGATGCTGGTGAAAAATTATGAGTACTTGATTTGTGACAGAGTTTTGGGATTTTTACAAGATTTTTTACAAAACACAGGCTTTTTTTCTAACTTAGCCAAAATACGCCGCACAGCCAAAATAATTACGGCTTTTTGTTGCTGAGAACCTAAACTTTTGATTCCAGGCTGATTTGGGAAAATTAATTTTTTTTCCCGATTTTCGCATTTTCTTATAAGGGGTAACATCATGTATTTTGTCTAAAACTTGCCTACATTGAAGTTTTTATTTGTAAATACTAATCGATTGGAAATTTTATAGCAAATTCAAAGAGTTATGGCATTCCAACAAATGATAAATTGTGCAGCTAAGTATCTAAAGTATAAATTCTAGGTTGATTTGGAAAAATTTCCCATTTTATTCGATTTGAACTGTTAAAAGGAACTCAACGAGGTATTCGAACTAATGTGATCTAATGACCATTATATTCCACGGTTGTGGTCTAAACCGAAATATCTTTTTAGTTGACTATAATCTAATAGCTGCCATATATATAATATTGGTATTAAAACTTCCGTTTGCCAAAGTTAGCTTCCGTTCTAGTTTTAATATGAAATATATTTTGTGGGTGATGGGCCTTTAGCTTTAAATCCCTAAAACGAAGCTAAAACATCGCTAGTACATCTATTTTGCTTTCTAATTTTTAAATTCGTCCCACTGTATGGCCTTTCTGCTGCCTTTTTATGGCTGACTTGTTGGTCTTGGCAACTGCAGAGACTACGGTGCGATAAATACCAGACGGTTACAGTTGCCCGGAGATCAGGACCAGGACATGTGTCCCACCATCAATAATGCTTAATTTAATTCGAGCCGTGTGCACTTACTCCCACTTTCTCCCGGCGACTTCCGCTATCTCTTTAAGTCGATGGGAAAGTCGACTGCGTCCGGCACATGATTATTATTAGTTATGATGATGTATCCCTTTTAATGGTTCTGAATGGGGAGTGTGAACGTGCCCGGAAGAGTGGGTGGTGGGAGGTGGGAGGTGGGTGCGGGGGCTTGGTCCTGGCGAATATTAATAATTGTTTCTTTTTTTTGGGGGTCTGCGGAACACGCTAAAAATTAATTAAACGTTCTAGGCGAAGGGCATAAAATATATATATATGTGCGATGGGTATATATTGTACACACATATTTTTTTCATTTCTGTTTTTGCTCGGCCATTTCGTGGTTATTTATGCGCCTGGCCCGACCAAACCCCACGGACTTCCACTGTCGACCGGATCCGGGCCTACACTTGATTCATTGTTTTTGCTGCCGCTGCCGTTTGAGCCGAGTGTGAGCAACACGCACTCATATTGCCAATTTATATTTGTATTAATTAATGGGCCAGTAAACAATTGCTGAAAGCTGCGCCATTAGCCCCGTTCCAGTCGATAGTGGGTGGTTTGGTGGGGTTTGGGCCCCTGCCAAATGCTGAGAATGACTGCAATAATAAGCTTCGCCACTGGCCACATAAATTACACATTTTTTCATTTCATTCTGCAGGAGTTAATAACATTTTCATAACTGAATTCTGGGAAATTTACGTGCCTTATTGGTGAAGTATTTTTGTATTGTGTCAGACACCATAAATTTTCCTGCCAATTACATTTTAAACTAATCGAAACGGAGTAAAATACAGTCGTACCCGGATGCCTTCAATTTAATTTTTACAATTAATCATGAAATTTGTGTTACGGCTTAACTGTGTTTTTAAATTTTGTTCTCAATTTAACATGAATTAGGGTAAAAAGGTTTGACAACAAAAGTAGCTTACTCTAAAACCTTTTGTAGTTAATTCATTTTAATTTCCACAAGTGGAATTGCTTTAAATGGCATACCCAGTGTTATTTTTTGAAAATTGTTTTTAAATGTTTTCGAATGAATAATTTTTTTTGTACTTTACCGTGTAACTTTTTAACTAATTTGTAATTTAACCATACATTAACTAAGTTAGTAAGCTTTATCAATTATTATTAGTATTTTAGTTGTGATTTTCAATTCTTTAAAATTTTTTTTTTTAAACCCTTTTAAAAATTTACTTTAAAGAAATCTTTTTTGTGACTTGTTTTGAATTCTTTTAATATTCACTTCGTGGGCTGTTAAATTTCTTATTTTTATGGAGAGCCAATAAAGTTTAGTGAAATTTTATAATAAAATCGGGGCTGAGGGCGTTGAAAATACGAGAAACAACCGCATGAAAAGCGCAGCCGAATGCCAGAAGCAGATTGTCCCATGCAGTCACGGCCCCAATAAAAGTCGCCGCACTCGACTCCCGGTTGTTTGTCCACCAGAATGCTCCAAAGCCACCCATATCCACCCAGGAAAGTAAGTACGGCAGCTGCACATTTACAATTTGCTGGGGGAGTGTGTGGCCCCCAGTTTTCGGTCATGATAAAAATGAGCGTCGGAAATGCGAATATAAATTCAGCCATATCTGATGTACAAGTGTACAACTGACCGGGAGAAAGGGGAATGCGGAGGGGAACTGTATGTGTGGCAGGATAAACATAATGGCTGCACTGCATTTGCCGGAGCCTGTGGCAGTGGCAGCAGGATGCCCGCCAGACAGGAGCAGACCAATCATCAGAAGTATGCCAGCGGCCGGAGGAAACGGCAGCGGAAATGACATGCAATAAAACACAAAGGCGCACGCATCGAGTGAAAGCTGGAAAAGCTGGGAAAAGGAGGAGGAAAAGGCAGGAAAAGCAGTGAAAGCAGCTCGTCCTTTGTCTGTTGCCTGTCGCTGGATTATAACGAAAAATGGCATCTAACAACAAAAATCTATCTGGCAAATGCATTTGCCCCGCCTGCTCCTCTTGAGCAGTGAGGAGAAACTTTGTGAAATTACAATTGCAAAAGTTGCGTGCCCCGAGAGTCCTTGCCACTCGGCTGGTGTCCAGCAAGTCCAGAGTGTGATTGCCGCCCAACCCCCGTTTTTTGAGGTATTTCCCGTACGTCTGTGCGTTAACGCCAAAGTCATTTGGCTTATCAATGCCAGACGCAGACTATTTCGGTCGCTTATCGCCGGTCGCATCGCTGTCCCGCAGCATGCAGGTGGCATCCCAGGATGCGGATGGCCCCGGGATGCGGGGTGGGGGGTGGGCGTTATTAAGTGCCCATTAGCCGGGCCTGGCGACAAACTGGACTTGGTCGGGGGCAGTTCCACAAATTACACAGCTGCCAATGAGTTTGTCGACTATCAGTCGCACACGGAGAAAAGTACACTTTACTGATGGTATCTAAATCTCTTGCAGCGATACAAATGTTTAATTTGTTTTAGCAGAGTAAAGTTGTATTTCAATCTTTTATAAAGTTTCAATGTAACTTGTATCGTTTTTTATCGGTTTTTTTTAAATGTTCGTTTAATCAAATGTTAACACAAAATCAAATCTCTGTGTCAAAAAACCACTTTAATTATGGCTTAACGATTTATATCACTTAGACTTTTGAAAAATGGTTTCTAAAAAGTAAGCAAATTTGCGAATTAAATTTATTTAACACATCTGATTAAGACATAATTAAAAGCTCTAGATTTGTATACTAATTTTTCAAGTTAAATTCTCCAATTTTTCCCTTATTAATAATTAATAATATATATTTACTATTATTGTGCCGTAAGCAAGTTTTTCTTTCTTTTACTTACCCTTTAATATACCTCTTTACTGAATTAAAATATTAAAAAATTGTGTTGTTCAGAGTAAGCTCATTAAGGCTTATTAAACGTAGAACAGTTGATGATTCACATTTTTAAGACTCCGATTACTTTACATGCTATTTTATTTTCCGTGCATCAGCACTAGTGGAATGTATGCAAACATTGTTCAGCTGACGGCTGGGGCGCAAGTTGTTGGTTCTAACAAAGTAAGCAGGAACAAGGGTTCCACTCGCCTCCGCGGTTCCCTTGCCACCGATCTTGCCCCCATCGGAGTGGCCGGCATTATTTGCTAATTACGCCCTGCAGCAACGTTGCATGCATGTGATTGCTCTTACTTCGCCTGCGTTACTTACTCCCTTCCCCAGAACCTGGCCCTATTCCTCAGCTCCAGTCAGTACCAGTGCAATCCCAAGGCCCGGTCTGCCATAACTTGCCATCAACTTATTAGCAGCAGAATTCCGCCGGCCTGCCTTATTTTCGATTTTAATTTCCATGTTGCTGCCGTTGGTGGATGCCCAGCATGCAAATGCTCGACATGCCCGTAATTTGTATTCATTATCTGATGCATAATTATACTGCAGATAAGGCAGCGGACCCATCGAAGCCATCCACCAGGTCACCAAATAAAGTATTCTGCTAAGCCGGACAAAGTATTCCAACTAATGCAGGAAATGGCATTTCATTTCGAATGTTTTTAGGATTGGCAACGATTTTCAAATGGTCGTTCGCATACTAATACGGTGGTCCATTCAAAGCACCACCAATCAAAAGGTTTATGTTCTAATCTCATTATTGGCATTCTCTGATTTGCAACTGGTGTGGTCGGTGGAACAGGATGCCATACATTTTTGACGTAGATTTCCTTATATAAATAACCGTTTAGTACCTTAGTTGCAAATATCAAGTTATGATTACTCGATTTTGAGGATATATCAAACATAACAGGAAAAACGATTTAGTAGAGTGATTTTCGACCTTAATAGTAAATAATATATGTTGCATACCCAACAAGCTAGACTTTAGACCTTAATATATTTTCCGCAAAAAATATTATTTACCATTCGTGTCCGAAGTTTGAAATCTTCTAAAATATATGCAACATAGGAATATTTATTGTTTGCTACTCTCTAATATTGCTTAAACGTTTTACTGAAGAAATAAAAACAATTTAATTCTTATTCTAATGGCGGAGTATTAAAAGTTATAATCTTTTACTAGGTTTGAGTGGTGCAACAACAGCTAAAAAACCCGCCCAAGAACTAGAAACAGGTTGGTATCCACTTTCTTTGAACTCTTTATTCTCGTGAATGTCATACAGTTTATCGCCTTATACTAGAGTTATTGTAGAGTTTCATTAGCCCAATTGCTAGCATCAGAGTTACGAGGAACCCTTTGCTTTTCTACCTATTCGTCTAGTTATAAACTTAGAGTATCTGGTAAGCCTAGTAATGCAATAAATATAAGTTAAATGTATAAATAGTGTTATCTGCAAAATATCTTCTCTGCGCTACTTGTAATTATAAAAATATATATAGGTTGAATCTGCAATTAGCTTAACTAGGGATGTGTATTTGGAACAGTGTTGGCTCTTATTGTAGGGTTTCTCCTCCTGCGGAGTTGCATATGTATGTTCGTCTGTTTGTGAGTGTATCTTAACTAGGCGCCTTAATGTCAAGTTGAACTTTGTTTCGCTTTGTGTTGTGGCAGTTGCCTCCGTTTTGCGTTTTGCGTTCTGCGTGCTGCCTTCCGAGGAATTGATGATCCCCGCCAGCGTTCTGGGGCACTTCGTTAGCCACGAGTTGGAGTTGTGCCCGTGGCGCCACATTAATAACATCTGCATCTGGATCGGGCTGTGTTTCGTACCTGGGCTCTGATTGGAACCCCCTTCGGCGGACTGCATCACGAGATGATGCAGTTCTTGTCCTTGTCGCCGCCCATCTCGCTGGGCTTCCTCTTCCGATCGTAGGCCAGTGCGTCGTTGGGCACATAGCTCACGCGGACGCCGCCGTAGTGGCGCCTCTGCGGCAGCTGGTACATCATCATGTAGTCCTCGGAACTGGAGGAGCTCGAGGAGCAGGTGGAGCACACGTCCGACTCCTCGGACTCTTCGCGTTCCCGCTCCCGATCTCGATCCCTATCCCGTTCCCGATCGGAACCTCTTTGCTGCCGGTTAGGTGATTCGTGGACCAGGCTGGCCGCCTGTAGCGCCGAGGGTGGACCTTGGTAGGAGGAGGAGAGTGGTTGCGCCGGGGCATAAGTATCCGCCCGAGTGGTCGAGTGCGACCGATGACCGCTGCCACTGCGATGGTGGGTCGAAGTGGAGGAGGACTTGCGGCGCCTTCGCCTCCGGGAGGAGTGACCATGTCCATGGCGACCTCCGCCCTCCTTGTCCTTGTCCCGCTCCCTGTCCCGCTCTCTCTCACCCCCTCCACCACCACCTCCACTCGTGCCCGCTCCATTGCCCGAGTAGCTCCTCGATCGCGGCAGCGTGTCCGGGATTCCCTCGAAGCGCACCCCCTTCTTCTTGCCCGGCTCCCCGCTCATCGGCGAGGAGGAGGAGGCGCCACTCAGGATGGACACCGGATGCGGAGGCGCGTGGCTGGCCGACTGGGTGGAGAGGGGCGTGTTCAGTGACCTCTCGCCCGCCGAGTGGGTGGGCGATCCCATCAGTTCCGGCGGCAGGGCCGTGGAGGCCACACTCAAGTTGGGAGTGGGCAGCTCGGGGATCTCCCCCGGCGGCGGCGGCGGATGCAGGATGTCCGCGTACTCGTGCTGCGGGAACTGTTGCGACGACACGGCATGCAGTTGCGATAGGTGTTGCAGGTGGGCGGGAGTCGCCACCATTTGGCCCGCCAACTCCGGCATGCTCGTGCCATGCGGATTCTCCAGAAGCTGCCTCTGCATTTGATAGCTATTCGTGGGCTTCGCCGGCCAGGCTGCGTCCAGGTTCGAGGACATCTCGTTGAAGTTGTAGACGCCATCACGCTGCAGTTCCATGGGCTTGGGCAGAAAGTGGGGTTGGAAGTCACCCGGCGAGTTGAGAGGCGACAGATTCTGCGAGGTGCTCGAGGCGCGACCGCCCGAAAAGTCGGTCAGATCTCCGGCGCCCAAGTGACCTCCACCGCCCGGCTCCAGATCCTTGACCACGCCCGCATCCGAGTCCGAGGTGGCGTAGCTCTTGCCCTGCTCCACCAGGCCGCCCGCCGCCTCCAGCTGCTGGCTCTGCATCTGGTACATCGCCTGGTTGAAGGTCGCCTGGTGCTGCTGCTGCTGCTGCGGCGACATGGGCGGCGAGCTGGAGGCGTGGCTGCTGGGGATGCGTGCCGGCAGAGGCGCCTGGGGGTGGGGCCGCAGCCGCTGCGTGGGCGGAGTGGGCGTGGTGTACATGCCCGTGCCGGAGCTGTCCGACGGCGTGGGCGGTTCGCCCTTGCTGCACGCAATGGAGCAGTAGATGGCGCCACGGCGTGGTAAGAATGCGCGACCCAGCAACGAGCAGCGGCACGTGTTGCACGAGAAGCACTCGTCCGTCGCATGCCAGTGCTGCCCGTCGTGGCTCATCTGGCCCTGGTCCACCCCGATGGCCTCCCCGCAGTAGTCGCAGTACTCGGCGAACATCGCGTCGAAGCAGTGCAGACAGTACGGTTTGCCCTCGCGCATGATGTACCGCTGACCGCCCAGCTGCTTGTCGCACTCGTGGCACGCGAAGTGGTTCATGTGCCACGCCCTGCCCTCCGCCTCCGTGCACTCGTCCGCCAAGATGATCTGCGGATGAAAAGAGCAGGTTAATTTAATTCAGTTAGAGGAACTTCACAAGCGAGGGAAAACTAAAATGACAGTATCGATACAAACTTCTATAGCACCTTGTTCTATGAGTTAACATTTTAATTTGCCTGGTATTTAAAGGTACGGTGAGATAATATACCTATCAATTTGTTTGATTTTAGTGACCTATATTCGTTCTTTATAAACTAATCAATATTCGGAATTGACTAAGAAATATTTTTCGTGCTATTTAGAATTTGCCAGCCAAAACCTTATAGTTTCATTAAGTATGAAATAAATTCATTCTTGGTCGCTTGGGCTATGAATGATATCCGCAACCAGCATATTCTTTACAATTAGATAATTACCACCATATTGTGCTAAGCAAAAAAAAAAAAAAAAGGCTTGGCGTTAAGACATTTGCTTTGATTTAAGAAGTCATTACTGAAAAAATACCGTCATTAGGAAACTGGATGGCAAACAGCTTTTATCGTGAAAGATAAATCTGCCTCTTGGATAAATTTGTGACAGGAGATATACGCCCTCCTATCATGGAAATAACTCTTTTTAAAAAGAACTGGTTGGTCTTGGTAGTGACTCTTAGAAGTGTCGTACAAGTTTCTTTTAAAATCTCATAGAAATACTTTTAAAATAATTGTCTAAAATAAAGCTGAGCATAAGTAAATTTGAACTTGTTTTTTTCAAATACGTTGCTAGCCAGAAATTATCTTGTCATTACTCTTAAGCAGAGTCTTGGAAATGGAAAAGCTAAGAATTGCGTTGTTTTTAAAAAAATATGTTGAAATATAAAAAAAACTTATTGCTAAATATTTTTCCTCTATGTGTTTGTTGGGTAATATTTAATATTAACAAAATCGGGGGCCTTTTAAAGAATAATTATTGACTAAATAAAGAAGTTATTTTCGAGTTGTGTAATATTCCCAAGAACACATTCTTAAGCCCATCCCCCGAGGACCAATCAATCAGGGGGCACTCACCTCATCGCAGGCCGAGCACCTGGGCTTGAGGGTCTCGGCGTGGTGGCGACCGCAGTACATGCGTCCATCGCGGTGGAAGTAGATGAGGTCCACGAGGAGCTCGCGGCAGACGCAGCAGGCGAAGCACGCCGGATGCCAGCTGGCATTGGGACCCAGTCGCGTGGCGAACACGGCGATGTCGCCCGTGGAGATTAGGTCGTCGCACTGCCAGTTGCCGGGGGGAGGGGGGAGGTAAATAGAGATTAGAGCTTGGAATTCGAGTGGGTGCCCGGAATGGAATACTTACGCCGTCGCAGGGTCGGGCGCTCATCAGCTGCCGCACGTTGCCGCGGCCGAGTGCATCGCGCTTGCGCTGCGTGGAGAAGAGCCGCAGCTCCTTGCGCTCCTCATCCGTCAGTGAGTGACAGTAACGAACCTGCAATGACAGCGAGTAACTGAAAACTGTGGCTTTTCCATCGCCCGCTTTTCCCCCTTTGTTGGGGAAAAGACAGGGAAATCATATGTTCAAGTGCGGCTCGACAGCGCGAGGAACCGTGGGCACGGCCTGAAGTGATCTTTCCAAGAAACGCGCACAGGGAGCGGGCGGAGCTTGTTTGTCTCGGCTGCAGACAGGCCCACATCCACAATCCCACAACCCCACATCCCACAAATCCCAAGACCCGGAGAAACGCAGAGCAAACCGCAAAAGGCAAAACGGTAGCCAGTAGCCCAGGCTGCCCATCAACGCTTCACCTCCAGCCTCCTGCTGTCCACTCCATCTGCATCTCCATCTCCATTCTCCATCTCTATTCTCCATCTGCATCTGCCCATCTCCCCCAGAACGGTCTGTGGTCTGCGGTCAGCGTCTCGTTTGTGTGTTGTATGCAAATTTTTTCGGCTGCCTCCACTTATTTTTCGGTTCTCTTTTTTTCTCATTTCAAGCCGGCCTTCAATGAGTGTTCTAGTCATCGTTAGCCAGACTCCGCATCTCAGACCTCAATCCCCAAAACAGTGATGGAAAGTTCTGAGGTCAGTGGTAAGTAATCTCAATACCTAGTAATTTAACCAAGCGTTAACTAAGAACTAAAAAATCTATACTGTGATCTAAATGCCTATGTTTTTCCAAATTCTTCTGCTTTTTAGACATTTACTCCCATTTAAAAATCAAAATTGATCAAAGTAAAGATTTTTTCGACTTCTTTAAATGAAACTATATTATCACCGATCGATCAAAATCATTTTAAATATATCATTTCTGTCCTACTTTTATAACTTATTGGTATTGGACTGATATAACCTAAGTAAAGTTGATGTATCCCTGTGTCTTGCATAGGAATCACAATGGGTACCTTTCCCATCACTGTCCCCCAAACCCAAGTAACTGATATCTGTGAATCCGCTCAGCATTCCCTGTTTTTGTTTGGCTAGTTTTTTGTGGTCAGCGTCTGCTCTAAATACCGAACTCAGTCTGAGTAGTCTGCACTTGTTTCCCCGATTAATTAAAGGTTACAAAACGGGAAATGGTCGTTTGGGAGGATGGATGTATGATGCACATGGCAGGGTGGATACGAAAAGGAAGGTGTGTGGGAAAATCGTCGCACAATTTGACTTTGAAATGTCATAGCCCGTAATTCGAGTTGGTTTCAATCTCGATAAAGCGGCTGCCATGCGATGCCAGCTCCTCCAGTTGGGATAAATGCCGCAAAACAGACGGGCCCACGATCCCGAGGGGTTTGGGGTCAGGTTCTGGGATTGGGAATGATAGGGATTGGGATTGGGATGGGGATGGGGATAGGGATCCCTCATCGCACTCACCTCGTTATCATGCGGCGGAAGTTGATGCAGCAATTGTCGCACACGATACTGCTCCCCCGGACTGTTGACGTATGGCACTTTGTCGTCGGGTATTTGCGAGAAATACAAGCGAACCTGCGGGAGAACGAGAACAGAGTGGTAAGTACCTTGCGGAATGGCCAAATACAGTTAAGGAGTGGCTCCAAGGAGCTGGGAAGCGGGCAATAAAGGGTTAAGAGCCGGCAAGCCGGCACAGCGGGCAGAGATTTTTGATTTTATTACGCTGATTTCTTGGCCGCTCTTCTGCGCGGACGGCTTTTCCATCTGAGCCAGGTTGAAAGGTGCACAACGTGCTAAGCCAACTTTATTGGCCACGCTCGCTCGCCAAACGTTCTTTCATCGGCGGGGAAAGGGAAGTGGAAAAGCGGGGAAAAAGCGAAGAAAAATGCCAACTCTCGCGGCGGCTGACTGACACATGGCTTATGCCGCATCAACGTAAATTGCTGCCACATGGCTGTAAATAAATTTTCAATTCTGTTTGTAAAGTCACACAGCGAAAAGAGGGACAAAACGAAGAAATGCATTGCTAGACATCTGATAGGCCCGTCGGGATGGGTTGGAATGGAATGGGATGGCTTTAACGGAAGTCAAAGAGTTGAACGCAAAACGGCAGAGGCCCCGAAAAAATTCCGAATTTCAGAGTTGCGAGTTGGGAGTTGGGAACTGAAAACTGAAAACTGGGCGCTTCTGCCGGGGCAGATTGTGAAAGATTTATTTGGCATTGTCGCATATTTTACGCGAATAATTTACGAGTTCGTTTCGTTTCTCGGCGCCTGGCAAATAATTGAAAAAAGGCACAGCCAGCCACAATTGAATTGGCCATTAAAGTCCAATGCGAATTGAGGAATGGCTGCTGGCCAGTGGCGGAGTCCAGGCTTTCATTAGCGCTATCTAATTCGCCGGACATTCGGACTAGAGACCTTCGCCTAATTGACACGCTCCAATAGAGCCGGTCCCAGTCGCCAGACGACTGCAATCGCCTTTGGCCTGCATCATCTCCGACTTGCGAGGCGATTCTGGCCACCAGTCGCTGATTTATGGCCGCGTCGCGTGTATTTATTTACAGCTCGCTCCGAGTGACAAAATAACGCACAATAACTCAAGTATCCCGCTTATCGCCAGCCCACAAATCTCGCCTGCCATCCCGGTTCTGCCCTTGGCACTTCGCGTTCCTCACTGCAATCTTCAGGCGGCAGACGTCCAAGATTCGACGACGGCAGAGGGAGTGTAAATCGGAAGAACTCTTGGACGTCGAGAAGGATTTTGAGGTAGGGCTAAATTGTCAGGGCCTGCTTCAAACTGGGGCATCTTAACTCTTGTTATGGGGAAACTAAATAAATTGACTGCCTTTACAGCGAACATTCATTAAGATGTGTTAAGAGACACACAATATTCTTTAAAAATTACCTTTAGTGGCTGTATCTATTTCAAGAACACAGTGGAAATTATAATACGAATAAGTCTTGAAAACTGAAGATTGGTTTATTTTTGTAGCCTTATAAGTAGATCCTAAACCAAATAGTAAGTCTAGATTATCAGCGGTGAAATGATTTTACTATTTCACGATTTAATTTATTACTAATATACAGCTAGAACCAGTTGAGAATTATAGTATCCTATGCCGGTAAGATTGGAAAAGCTTTTCAAGACTTTCGATCAGAATGTTAAATGTAAGCAATATTTCGTGTAGCTGAACTCTAAACTCATTGTAAATAAACTGTATGTAATTAATACACATAATTAAGACAAATTTGTGCATAGAGGTAATTAAAATCTAGTGGGGAATAAAGCACTAACTTGGTAATAAAGCACTCACCTGATCAGGCCGCAGTCCCGGTGGCACCCAGGTGTACTCCTCGAGGGCGCAGCCACTGTCATCGTCCGAGTGCGACTGCCGCTGCATGTCCATGTGCGGTCCGCCGAGGAAGGGGGCGTGTGCGGAGGCGGAGGAAGTGCCTCCGGCGGGATGGTGGAGCAGCGAGGGCGGCGATGGAGTGGACAGGGCCGGCGACAGCTGGTGATGGTGGTGCGGCGGTGGCGGGAGCTGGGCATTGGAATACTTTGGGTTCGCCGAGCAGCCCGGCGAGTACTGGGGGCCAAGGGGCGGTCCTCCTGCTGCTCCCATTCCCATTCCCAATCCCAGTCCCAATCCCGATCCCGGCAGCTGTTGGTGGTGCGGCGGCAAGTACTGCTGGTGGCGCTGCAGGGGCAGCGGGGAGGTGGGCAAGAGGCCGGCGGCGGTCTGAGCGGCATACAGGGCGCTGGCGGAGGAGCTGCTGGGCAGGCCGCTGTTGCCGAGGGCGGGGGGCGTGGCCAGGCCCTGCCCACTGGGTGAAAAGTGGCGCGGCAGCGTGGGGATCTTCTGCAGATACGAGATCTGCGTCAGTGGAGTCCGGCTGATGGGCCTGCAAGTGGGGCGAAAAAAGAACGGATGGAAAACGTGACTTAGCGAACAGGCTTGACTAATCAGAATTTAATTAAAATTTAAAAATTTAATTAAAATATTTCCTGCTTGCAGGGTTAAAGGCCGGCCGTGGAAAAGCTACAATAAAGGGAAAAAATCGTGGTAATCCCTTGCCACAAAGCCGAATCATATTGTTAATGTAATATAAAACCGCATGGAAATCATTTTTCATCGTATTCCTTTTGTAATTCGTTGGATTTATGCGGTTTTGCACTTCCTATTTGCCGTCGAACAAGCTGTCAATTTTAGTTTGTTTTTCATGCGTTTTTTATTTTGACGGCGACGTGGAAAGTGGAAATGGGTGGTTGGAAACTGTTTTTGCAAACGTCAAAATGAAAAATATACGCTTCACAGCATTTACACAAACAAATCGACAGCCTTGCGTTGCTTTTGTTGCTATTTTGTTGTTGTTGCTGTTATTGTTATTGTTGTCAAGCCCGCAGGGCTGTCGCTGTTGTCATTTTGCCATTTTCTGACATTGTTATCCTAGACCGGCTTGAATGCCCTGTAACCCATTTGTTATGGTCTCTGCGATCACAAAGTTTGCTGGAAAAACCAAGTAATATAACAATACTCTGCTGAATTTGCTGGATAAAAAGTTGTCTTTATTATGTCGATGTAATCTCAGTTTTAAACCTTATAATGTATTTAAAGCATTCAATAGTTTTCAATTCTTTTGCAATCAATAGAAACCAATTAAGTTGCAGAATAAATATTATTTTATTTTAAGTAATTAATTCACAGATACTATTTAGTTTCTAACTTTTCGAGAAAGTAAAAATTACTCACTTATTTCACTATTCATATGAATATACATTGGAAAGACAGCCGGAAAAGGCTATATGATTTATGCTGCTGATCGTCATCAAGGATATATGCACATAATGGGGAAACACTTTGTAATTTGTAATAAATACCCTTAAAAATTCTATATATTATTCCTAGGTTCTATTTAAAATTACATGTTCATGTCTCAGTAGACAATGCAAAATCATCATATTTTTCTAATTTCATAAAAAACATTTAGATCGATGTCTTCAAGTTGTCAAGCAATCAATACCTCTTTTTCGAGATGTACAGTCCAATTTTGTGATTTGTCAACTATTCTGATGGAGGATTGAAATATAATCTCCTGCCCTTTAAACGAGCTGCAATTAAAGTTTTTTCTATCTTTCGTAGCGCACTCGCATCACTCCTTTGACATCGGGGAAATGAACACGCACCATTTCATGGCAGTTTGCTGTTTGCCATATCAAAGGATAACTGTGCATTGTGCAGATACTCACATGCCCCCATATGTATATATATATATATATATGTGCATAGATATATCTGAGTGGGGGCGTGGGCGGGGGCGTGGCTGGGGCTGAACCGAAATAAAGCGAACTGGAAATGCGAGTTCATGCGGGCGTTTTATCAAAACAATGCTGTCCGCCCTTTTGTTGTTTTAGCCAGTGAATTCTTTCTTTTCGCCAGCCACATCCCGATTTAACATTTTCCAATTCCATTTCTAGTTCACCAGCATGGGAGGAAAAAAGCAGAGTGGGATTGGGAATCGGACTGGGACCCACTGACGTGTCAATAGCTGGGCGAGTGCCATGTGCCAAGCGGTTTCTGCGGTTTGCCGGCAAATTAATTGCACAGATTGCGACTTTCAATGGTAAATAAAACCCGAAAAAAAATGGTTTGACATTTGAATTTTTGAGCAGCAAATGCAAGAATGCGTGCTGAAACTGCATTTGGGAACCGTAATGGAGTTTCACTCAGCGGAGTGGGTCGAATGCGAATCCGAATCCGAGTCCAAATTCAAATCCCAATCCCCCGGCATGCACGTGCAACGTGTCGCAGCTGGATACCCCGATTGCCAAGTGTTGCCCGCCGTCAAATCAGCCGCTTTCAAACTCAAATTACCAGTTCCAGCAACCGAAAGCCAGGCGAAACTGTGCCTAAACTCTATAAATTCGCCTGGGAGCCTGTGGGTCTCTTGCCTGGCGAATTTATTGTGCGACCTGCATTTCTTCGTGGCCCTCTTTTTTCTGTTCCTTTTTTTAGTTTTCAGTTTGTGCTGCACCAGCACAAATTTATTGTTGACTGCAGCGAATTGCGTGAAATTGGCAAAGCAATTGTGGCAAGTTTCAATTTGGCACAGGTCTATGAAGTCATTAAGGCGGGAGAACAAAATGGAAAGTGCAGTGGCGTGCCATGTTGCTCATGTTGCGCAACATTGTTGGCCAGCAGCAACAGCAACAGGAGCAACATATTGGCAACAGGAACTGCAGAAATAAGCCCGCCAGTTCTGGCCTGGTCGGCAGCTGTTGACGCTATTTGCATTGATCGACGGCGGAGGGCTCCGACTCAATTACTTTGGCAGTCGTTGACCCAGAGAACTGGTTTGGCCCGTCTAGGGGCCCTCTGGAAAACTAGTTCACAGCCCAGGTTGGTTGGCCCATTGAGGGACATAGGGTCGGGGGCCCAGCTGCAGCTGCTCCTCATCCTCCTGCTCCTCCTCCTTTTCCCTCTCCTCCCTCGAAGATCTGCGGCAAGTGCCTATATTTAGCCCCGTCTGCGCTTATCTGGCATCCAAATGAATGATCATTATGCGGCGGTCGCGTTGACAAATTGCCACAGAGCTTGAGCGATGAGCGACGGCTCAATGCTCGGCTAAAGACAGTTTTGTGGATGGCTGAAAGAGGGGAGGGGAGCGGAGCACAATGATGGCCAAAAGGTTAGCCCCAAATCACTTTGGCACTTTGTGTGCGGTTTTCTCAAGTCATTTGTGTGATTTGGGTTAATGTCGGAAGATCAGTCGAAAAATAATCTTGTGGTATATATACCTGCTAATACCTATGTATCCGCAGCGAAAGTTACACCACCGAGCCCGTTGCGAATAACTTCGGTTCCAGCTTATTTTTACACCGAAAAAAATGTAAAATAAAACTAGTGTGTTGTAACCGTACCTCAAAACTTTTTTTTATAAAAAGCTATTTTAGTATTTGCATTTGTAAGGTAGGTAAAATGAAGATACAAACTTAAACGCAAAGTAATTAGTTATAAATTATATAGGCAAATTGAAAAGAAGTTCACTATTGATGAATTGAAATAATAAGTCATGATGTGAATCTAATTTAATGGCTTGTTCAGACTTCAATTACTGTTAGTATTTAAGTATGATCCTGAAATATACGTTTTAGCCTGGTTTCCTCTGTGTAGAAGTTACTTATATGGCCTCTTGTGAGTTCAGGGACAGGTGTCGCACCATTAAGACTTGTTTGCTTTTAGTTTTACGACGGCTCTCAGCTGGACAGCAATTATGTGGCAGGACTGCCTCCCCCCTCCACCCCTCTCCACACAGCCTTTCCGCATATCCTTTTATTGTTTTACTATCCCTGAAAGAGCAGCAAAGAAGAGCAACAAACATTTATTAAAAAGCTGCGCCAGCTCAGTTGGTTCGTTCGGTGCGATTGTCATAAACGATTTTTGAATTGTCCATAAAAATTGCTGGCAGAGGGAAAGGTGTGGTGGAAAAGCTCGTAAAGTTTATATGGGGGAGAATGTCCGAATTCCCCAGAACCACTTGGCATTTTTCCAGAGGAGTGGACCAGTCGCAGCAGAACCATCACGTTTTGTTCTGTCTGCCTTGTCAACATGACATTTGCCGTGTTGACATTTTTATTGACTTTGGCAGGCAGGCAGGCAACAGGCAGGAGGTGAACGGTTTTTGTTCTCGCCCAGCCAGAAAGTTGATTAAGAATGCCAGACTGGCTGGCCGGGCTAACCACTTCCCACCTGCGTGTGGTCCACGCCACTCCGCTCCACTCCCAGGTGCGTTTATTACGCATACGCCAAGTGGCACTAATTGCCGCTCCTGAAGGCTCCGACTGCGACTGCGACTGCGACTGTACCCGGCGACTGGTCGCTAATTTGCTGTTTCAATTTGACCATTTAGAAAGTTGCATAATAGCGCGAATTGCGTTTTGCTTATCTCGCGGACACAACTAAACCAATTAAAGATGGGGCGGCCAGAGCACACATTGCCACTCATTGCAGGCGGCAAATATGCTGCTGCTACATTTCAGACGATCGCCTTTGTTTCTCTCCTCTGCTAACGGGCAGGAAAATTGTTTCCCGAGCGTGCAAATTTTCACAGCTGCAAACAGCAACAGCAACAGCAACAGCGGCAGCAGCAACTATGCCAGCAATTTGTGTGCTAAGCGGCAAACATTGAAGCACCCCCTGACCATCCCATCACCATTCTTCTTCTCTGGGAGCCAAAGACACCGCGAACCTTCTTCGCGGGAAAATCGCAACAACAGCAACACTACCAATAGCAGCAACACTACGAATAGCTGCAACTACAGCAACAACAGCAACACTAGCAACAGCAGCGACACAAGCAACACTAGCAACACCACGATCAGGTTTGTGTAAGAACCTCGCTTTCGTAATGGATGTAAGAGAAATTGCATCATCAATGCAAATTCGGTGAGCTAAAGGCGGTGATAGGAGAAGTTCCAATTTGTTTTCAGCGTAATTGATTCAAGGCATTATTTTTTATTCGAGCAACTGCCAATTAATTGCGAACTTTGTTGAAAATACATCAAAGCATAATCGGTTGGAAAACGCGTGTGTTGTTCTGAGTCGCCCACCTGGTGGCTCATAGTTCCCAGTTCCCTTTCCCCCCGAAACCCATCCCATCCCATCCCATCCCATCCCATCCAAACCCATCCCATCCGATCCATAACCATATATCCGTGGCTGTGTGTGTTCCAAGTCGGGGCCTACGGCATTCATTCGGAGACGTTGCTGGCTGCTGCTTCTGCGGTCGTTGTCTTTGGTCTATGAACTTGTTTTCTCCACTTCTGTCTGCCAAAGACACCCCCCCTCCCCCACTCACCCAGTGGAACCCCTTCGCCTTCCGCCTTTTTAATTGAAGCCGTGTCT